AGTGTGGTTTAAAGGGCAAATAGTGCTTTGTTGAGCAACTAATGCATTGAAACAGTTGTGTTTATACCAGGCAAAATATTATTGAAGTACTATCTGCAAAGTCAAATGAAACACCTTATGTTTACATATTCATGAAACAGTTTTTTGAAGTATTCATTCTATGCGAATTTAACTACGAGAGGGGTTCTCAAGCAAATAGCCCAATTTGACTCAAGTGAATACTATTTAAAGGACCATACTTAACCAAATACGAAATAAACACTTGCGGAAATGGAAACGGTTCTACCTACATAACAATGAGACAAAGATTGCTGAAGTATTCACTAAAGACCACTTATATACTATGTCTGAAAAGCACAATTTGCATGAGCAAGCTTAAAAATGAACAATAATGGAAATAGAAGCGGTTCTACTTACATAACGATGAAACAAAGATGTCTGAAGTATTCAATAAAGACCACATATATACTATGCCTGAAAAACGCAACTTGCACAATCAGGCTTAAAAAATGCACAAGAATCCTAGAAAAGTACTTAGTGAAGGCCATACACAAGCAAATTCACAAATACATAAAAACATCCAAAAGCGCAAGCTTTTCAGGAGAATCTCTGGTAAAGTTTGGATTATAGGATTTTGGGGTATTCCTGGACGAGTAGGAGTCACTTTTAAGCAAACAATTCTAAGCAATAAATGCTTTTTCTCAAGACAAGTATTGCAAATGCTGCTTCCAGATAATTAATCGCATTTACCAGGCAAATATTATCCATGCGAATTGAGCTACCAGAGCACCAAGTAATGGCTGAATAAGGTCTACTACACTTGAGTACAACCAAGAGATGCACTAAACACTAGCGGCTCTACTTACATAGTAACGAAACAAATAGTTCTGAAGCACTAGAAAGACCACTTGTATACTATTTCTGAAAAGCACAATTAGCATAAGCACACTAAAAAATGCGTAGTTGTTGCCTCGTGACCGTGAAGGCGAACCAAAAAGCCAAAATACCAAAACCAAAAAACCAAAAATACCAAAACCAAAAAAACCAAAAAAAACAAAACCAAAAAAACCAAAAATACCAAAAAAAACAATTTTCCGGGACTCTTGGAGAAGCCTCATAGGGATTTCCTGAGAGTCCCGGAAAATTGTTTTTTTTGGTATTTTTGGTTTTTTTGGTTTTGGTTTTTTTTGTTTTTTTGGTTTTGTTTTTTTTGGTTTTTTTGGTTTTGGTTTTTTGGTTTTTTTGGTTTTGGTATTTTTGGTTTTTCTACTGTCCCGTGTATGCGATTTTAGTTGTATTTTAGTCTACGCCCTAGGAAATACGCTATATTGCACACCGAGTTTGCTTGCAGTGCAGCTGGGTGACTTGAGACCAGCCCAAAAAGGGTAGGTCACTGGGGGGGGGGGGGGTACCTATAATATATATATATATATGTTTATTATTTTTTTTCTTGAGGGGGGGGGGGGGGGGTCGGCGGAGTTTTTGCGAAGTTGTAAGGGGCCAACATAGCGTTGAGCCCCTAAGACGCTCGGGAGGCCAGGGTTTACAGTTTAGGGCGGTTTAGGGGAGTTGAAGACCCCAATGGCCCAAGCCCTAAGTTTTTGCTAGACATCAGCAGTCGGTGGCACCCCGTGGCAAGACCGCCGGAGAAGCACGAGTAAGTTAGTTTCTTGTATAGTCACCGCACGACCGAGCTGCAAGCAGTCGACTCGCCCCAGGGTGTCCATGTACCCCATATAGTTAACCCCAAACCAAGCCTAAACCATAAATACTGTATCCCCCTTGGGAATTATTGTTTGTTTTTGTTTATATAAAACCCAAGAGGATATGAAAAAAATATGATTTTTGTTTAAGGTTCTAAGGAGAGTATAGAATATAGTACACCCAAACCCTAAACTTTACGCTCTGAACCGAATCCCTAAACCCTAAACCCTAAACCCTAAACCCTAAACCCTAAACCCTAAACACCCAAAGAGGCGCGTTCTACACCAAGCCGTCGAGTAATGTGGGGCGGGATTCTCTCCCCCTTGTTGGGGGTCCCATTTAAGCTGTTTCCTAGCCTAGTTGGGGTAGAAAAGGGGTACCCGGTTTTCCTTAGTTAGGGTTTAGGGTTTAGGGTTTAGGGTTTAGGGTTTAGGGTTTAGGGTTTAGGGTTTAGGGTTTAGGGTTTAGGGTTTAGGGTTTAGGGTTTAGGGTTTAACCTGGACCATTTGGGGTCAGAGTTTCGCCTGCAGTGGAAGTCCTCTGTTCCGCTCCAAAGGAGAGCCTGCTACTGGGCTGAGATGGTAGTGCTGGGGTTTAGGGTTTAGGGTTTAGGGTTTAGGGTTTAGGGTTTAGGGTTTAGGGTTTAGGGTTTTGGGGTGTAGGGTGTAGGGTTTAGGGTTTAGGGGGTCCCTTTATAACTACAATAACCCCCCAAAACCCTGTTTTAATTATTAAGGCTCGTACAGTACCCCCTGTCACCTGGGACGACCCGACTCCCCTAAGCCTCAAAGAAAACCAAACAAACCCCAACACTTTGGGAAGTTCCCCCTTTTTCGAACAGTCCTTAGTTGGGATTATATTTATCGTACCCCCCTCCCCCCACTATAATCCCTATTAAGGAGCTGCAAGTAAATGGGTTTAAACCCTAAACCCTAAACCCTAAACCCTAAACCCTAAACCCTAAACCCTAAACCCTAAACCCTAAACCTTCGTGGAATCTGAAAGCTATCCTTCCCACAGCGTTATCTCTACAAGCTTCACGGACCCTGCATCCGTCTCCTCCCCAGACCCTGAGCTGCCGAACATAGGGTTTAGGGGGGTTTTCGGGGTTCCAAACCCTAAACCCGAAACCCTAAACCCTAAACCCTAGGGTTTAAGTGGGTTCAGGGTTTAGGGGCTTTAGGATTCAGGGGGTTTAAGGGGTTTTAGGGGTTCAGTCGGGGATCGAAAGAACCTTCAACAAAAACATCGGCGCCCAAAATTTAGGGTTTAAGCCTAATCCCTAACCCCTAAGCCCTAAGCCCTAGACCCTAAACCCTAAACCCTAAACCCAAAACCCAGGGCTTCGGGCTTCAGGTAAATCAAAAAGCCATGGGTTCTAAACCCTGAAAGCACTGAAGTCTGGAACTGCCCTAAGCCCTGGACCCGCGCAGGCCTAGGCCCTGAACAACTAAACCCATATAGGGTTTAGGGTTAGGGTTTAGAGTTTAGGGTTTAGGGTTTGGGGTTTGGGGTTTGGGGTTTGGGGTTTGGGGTTTGGGGTTTGGGGTTTGGGGTTTAGGGCAGTGTAGGGCTTAGGGTTTCAAAGCTTGGTGGAAAGACCTGCCCAGCCTCCGTAGCTAGCCGAGCTATCGCTCGAACATCGCAGTGCGATCCTCGCGCATACTGCTGGGTCAGCTTCAGGGCTCAGGGTTCAGGGTTCAGGGTTTAGGGTTTGGGGTTTAGGGTTTAGGGTTTAGGGCTCAGAGTTTGGGGTTTAGGGTTTAAGGTTTAGACGTAAGAAGTGTGGGTCAAGAAGCCCTAAACCCCATGAGAATGGGTACCTGCATCCGAACCTACAAAAGCTGACCTTCGCATGGCGCTCATAGGAGTCCTTCAGTTGTGCAGGGACCATGAGGCAATTGGCGGTCCCATTGGAAGAACCAGCATCTATTGGCCCCCTGAGCCCTAAACAAGCAATGGTTAAATTGCCCTGCAACAGTCTATTCAAGATGTTGGGTTCAGGGTTTCATTCTTGTTTGCAAAGCCTCGTATTATGTTTATTGTACCCATATCGTCCATTTAGAATTTGTATATACGTGTGATACAAACTGCTCAACATAGCGCATAGGCTCTGCGTTTGCTTTCACTTGCCTGGTAATCGTAGACAACTGCTTGCGTCCAAAGCCTTAGTGCGACCCACTGGAAACAGCAGCAACTCTGAAATGCCGGCGCAGTAAGAGCAAGCCCTAAACCCTACAGCCTAATCCCCGCGCCCTCCAAACACATCCTAACCCTAAGCCCTTATAAACCCTAAACCCTAAACCCTAAACCCTAAACCCTAAACCCTAAACCCTAAACCCTCTCTGCATGTTTGCCTTGTAGAGCTCAGCTGGGAAGTGGGGCCGCGAGGCGCTGTCAGCAGTGCCAAGGTGTGCATCTTCAAGGGCACCAGAAGAAACCCAATTGAGCCTTCCACCGTAGGGTTTGGGGTTTAGGGTTTAGGGTTTAGGGTTTAGGGTTTAGGGTTTAGGGTGTAACCTGGGGGACAAAATCAACCCTAAAAGGGTTTCTCGCACGTATACCTTAAGAGGACTTATAGTAGTATGGGGTATATGACCCCCCAATTTTAGGGGTCGGAATAATTTCGAATTGTATTCAGGATTCCCCTATAGTCCCTTTGTAATTCTACTGTAAGAACCCCCCCCCCCCCTCGAATTAGTCAGGCCCCAATATTAAACCTTAGACCCTAAACACCTTGAAGCTTACCGCGCGTGAAGTCTCAAGAGCCGGGGCACTGCGCTATTTTCAACTACGGACCGGGGTTTCTCCGATCTTCCCTCCCCCACAGGATGTGGGAGCCTCTCAGTGGTTTGCAGTGCCTAAATTTGTAGGTTAGTTGTCGTCGTTCTTCATCCTCCTAGGAGATTTTTCCAGGTAACTTGCCACGACACAGGATTTGGGTTCTTGCGGTCGGCTATTTGGTTACTGCGCCATGTTGTTGAGTTTGGTGCTTTTGGTTCGAGATCCAACCCTAAACCCTCAGCTGACTCGGACGAGTTGAGGAGCTTTCCAGAACTACCCCAAATACGCGAGCCAAGGAGTATTCCTTACACTGCCTGCAACAGTCGTGATTTGGCTCTTGCGCAGGCTGCTTGAGAAGCTCCTCGTCGCAAGGGCGGGGGGTGCAACTTCAACAGCTCCTTCTGAAACCAAGGAGAGGGCGGCCCACGATCTACAAACCTACACACAAAGCGACAGGACTAGCAAGACTAGCGCTTGTTGTGGGGGCTTAGTCTACAGGCCAGCGGCCTTCGATGCCATGGGGGCTCATTTTGCCAGCCGGCCAAAAAGACTTGACTGGCCATGCTTCTGTCTCACAGGTGCTGTTTGCACGGCAAGATAGTCGCACGAAGCCCCCCAGACAAGCCCTGAACAGCTGCTCTGCATTATCCAACGGTGATCCTCTCGAAACCCCAAGCCCTGAACCCTAAACCCTGACCGGTTTGCTGGCCGCCGTTGCACAAAAACCTTTTCTAGCTCTATTGAGTCAGGCCCTCCCAAGGCCCTTCTAAATCGAAGGGCCTGGGAAAAACCCTCTGCTACAATTCCAAGCGGATCCGTACAGCAGCTTCCACTCCTCTGAGGAGCACCATTCAGAACGGCTGTATTATGGGGGTGGGACTAATTCCGAATAGTACTCCCTCAGGGTCCCTTGATAATTATACTATGAGAGTACCCCCCCCCCCCCCCCCCCCCCCCAAAACCTTATTCCAATTATTCAGGCCCCTGTGTTAGAGCTCTGGCCGCGCCCTAAAGACCCCAAATCCCTTTTTGGGAGGAATCGGGGCTGCGATATCCGAGAGGTCCGCGAGAAGCCTTGTTCAGCGGAACCTCGGCCCTGAACCCCACATCAGCCCGTCCGCCCTAAACCCTAAACCCTAAACCGCAAGCCCCAAACCCTTAACCCTTAACCCTAAACGCTAAAATGACCTCGTTTAGCTGCTTCTTTAGGATCCGTGACGGCGCAGTGCATGGGACCAACCCGACAGATTCTCACATTCGCGAGATCGAAAAATCCATGGAACAGGGTTTAGGGTTTTAGGACGCCCTAAACCCTAAACCCTAAACCCTGAACCCTGAACCCTACTTCAACCGTTCGGGCTTTCGTTTGTGGTCTAGGTCCAAGAGCCCAGCGCTGAGCCCTAGACCCTATTTGCACTCCCTCTTCCAAGTGGTTTGGGATTGAGGGTTTGTGGTTTAGGCTTCAGGGCCCTACTTGGAGCTTCACGGAAAGCTTAGAACCCCAGTGCAACTGCGTGCAGGGCTTCAGGTTTAGTTTTTTTTTTTTTTAGTTTGTAGGGCCTTAGGGCTTAAGGTACCAGAGGACCGGCTGATGTTTTCATTAAACTTAAAGCCCAAATTTGACCATATCAGGGGACTTCGGGAAGCGTATCTTGGGGTTCTTGAGCCACGAAAAAGCAGGGAGATCCAATTTCTGGGCCTAAACCACGAGCGACGGTTTAGGGTTTAGGGTTTGGGTTTAGGGTTTAGGGTTTAGGGTTTAGGGTTTAGGGTTTAGGGTTTAGGGTTTAGGGTTTAGGGTTTAGGGTTTAGGGTTTAGGGTTTAGGGTTTAGGGTTTAGGGTTTAACCGCATAGCAAGGGTCCGTGGCGCAGCGCGGAACCCTGAACTCACACTCTATGGCGTACAGGGCTTAAAGGAACCCTAAACCCTAAACCCTAAACCCTAAACCCTAAACCCTAAACCCTAAACCCTAAACCCTAAACCCTAAACCCTAAACCCTAACGAATTCTGGATCATTTCCTCATGTTTCAAGACGTTCATGGGTGACAACTTAGTAGCCCAGTCGGCAGACTTCAAGCATGTGAAGCTCCTTTTGGGCAAGGTACTGGACTAGACCGGAATCCCTAAACCCTGAATCCTGAACCCTGAACCCTGAACCCTAAACCCTAAACCGGCCCTAAACCTGAACGGGTGACAGGCGGGTGTCGGCTACTCTGCCGTCGTCCAGCAGTTCGTCGAGCAGATCAAGCAGTACACTGAACAGTGGGAGGAGTGCAGCCGTGGGATGTTCCCTAAACCCTAAACCCTAAACCCTAAACCCTAAACCCTAAACCCTAAACCCTAAACCCTAAACCCTAAACCCTAAACCCTAAACCCTAAACCCTCCACTCTGTTGCGGTTTTAGGGTTTTGAGCCTTGGGGTCGGGTCTTGAGGGTGGTTCAGGGAACCTAAACCCTAAACCCTAAACCCTAAAACCCTAAAGTTGTTGAGGGCTTTGGGTTTTTTTCTCGGGCGGGCCGGGGTGGCCATAAAAAGCCCAGACGCACACTGTTGGTCTGGTTCTGGTTTCCTCTGGGTCCTTAGGGTTCAGGGGGCCTTTCTAGGGTTCCTAGTCCCTACACCCCACAGGGTTTAGGGATTAATTAGGGTTTAGGTTTTAGGGTTTAGGGTTTAGGGTTTAGGGTTTAGGATTTAGGGTTTAGGGTTTAGGGTTTAGCGCTTAGGTTTTAGGGTCTAGGGGTCAAACCGTGAGCCCTCTTCCCTGTGCCCAGAACAAAGATGAGAGCAACAACTTCGACCAGCGCTACGACCTGGAGCTCGCCAGGAAGTCGGTCTTCCCCATTGTGGAGGCCGGCAGCTTGAAGTCCCCCGAAAGCCCTAAACCCTAAACCCTAAACCCTAAACCCTAAACCCTAAACTCTAGACTCTAGACCCTAGACCCTAGACCCTAGACCCTAGACCTAAACCCTAAACCCTAGCTTGGGCATCGGGCGTACTTTGGGGTGTTTGTGACGGTTGGGAGGTCCACCCTCGTGTCGTCAACCTCCCGCCTAAACATGCATCCTTCAACACGAGGCCCAGAAAGAGGTTTAGGGTTTAAATGGCTCAGGGTTTAAAGGGTTGAGGGTTTAGGGTTTAAAGGGTTTAGGGTTTAGGGTTAGGGTTTAGGGTTTAGGGTTTAGGGGTTTAGGGGTTCAGGGGTTTAGGGGTTTAGGGTTCAGGGGTTTAGGGTTCGAGACCCCAAGCTTGCGTCTCCGCCTTCCCTGTACCGGCTCCACTGCCAACGCCTCGAGCCCACTCCTCCAAGGTTTTTTTGTTCGTTTGAGAATATGGTGTACATGGAGGTTCACGGTACTTAGTAGCCCAATGCAACTGTCCTCAAAACCCCTTCGTAGGGAACTTGGGGGGCCTATCTGTGGGTTATCACTGCATTTTTGTACTGGGTTATACTTGCACTTATCATGGGTTACTAAGTACCTTGATCCTCCAAGTACCCTTACCTGCTATTCTTGCTCAAGAACCCCACACACAAAATGAACCTATCCTACCTTCCAACGGCATTATTAGGGATTAGCATTCCTTTGTTTTTTTTGGGGGGGACGGTGGGGGGGGGGGGGGGAAGGGTTTTTAAATAAATAGTAGTTATGTACCCCAGGAGGTCACTTCTCTAAAATGAACCTATCCTACCTTCCAACGGCATTATTAGGGATTAGCATTCCTTTGTTTTTTTTGGGGGGGACGGTGGGGGGGGGGGGGGGAAGGGTTCTTAAATCAATAGTAGTTATGTACCCCAGGAGGTCACTTCTCTACATTATGGCCCAGTTTTTTGGGTAGTATTGAGGGCCGCCTAATTGTAACCCCAAAAAAAGGGACCATAATTTAGAGAAACCCCCCAAAAACAGTATAGTCCTTTGTTTTTCTTAGCCAATAGTTGAACTTCCTTATTTGGCAAGGAAAATAAGGTTTAACCTGTTTGTTCCGCTGGAATTGGCAAAGGAAGTTTACGGATGCGAAATATTTCTAGTTCTGGGAACACACCCCGAATAGAGTAGAATCATGTCTTTGTTAAAAGGGTTCAGGGCTTATTGCCGCTGAGCTCTAGAAACCCTAAACCTCAATAGAGAAGAAGAATGCCCCTGCAGGGAAGTTTCATCAGCCATTGAGTATGGTCCCTTTGGATGTTCCCCCTTATACTATCAGTCTTTAGTCGGGAATATCATAGGGTGTACAAAAACTCCTATTTTGGACTGTTAGTATACAGGGGAACATCCCAAACATGGTACCCTTTTACCTTCTTTAACTTCAAAGGGTTTCTGACGTATGGGCCCTTGGGCTTGTTTGCAGGGTCTGTGCGGGGTATAGAAGGGTTCCACAATGAAGAGCTCACATCAGGGGTTTGGGTTTTAGGGTTTAGGGTTTAGGGTTTAGGGTTTAGGGTTTAGGGTTTAGGGTTTTGGGTGGGTTTACGGAAAACCACAAGGTATACCCAGACCCTACAAACCCCTTCAAAACAACTAAAGCACCAGTTTCAGAAAGCCCGATGCACCAAAGCAATCGCTTAGAAGCACTGAAAACCTTGTAAAACAGAAACCTTAAAGTCCTGCAAGCCTTCCTAAGGCCTTCAAAAACTGAAACAACCCAAAGAGCCTACACCCCTGCATTCAGAAATAGACCTGAAATCATATTAAGGATCCGTATATGAATTCATGTGTATTCCTTCGTTAAGGGGTGCTGGGATCTTTGGGAACATCCCGACACCCTGCGAGCATCCAACAGCCTAGCGAGCTGACGGAAGGCCCGAAAACCCTTCGCCATGCCCTTGAGCGAATTTTTCAGCAACCTAAACGAAAGCCCAAGATAACTAACGTCCCTTGAACAACCCAGCAGAACCTTACACACGCACACACACACATACACACACATCCTAACCCTAAACCCTAAACCCTGAACCCTGAACCCTAAACCCTAAACCCTAAACCCTCCACCCTCCAAACCCCAAATCAAAGCCCCTTTTGAAGCCAGAAAGGCCGAGCTTCGTGCATTGGTCGACGACCAGATGCGAGAGGAGCTTCAGGGTTTAGGGTTTAGGGTTTCAGGGTTTTAGGGTTTTAGGATTTTCGGGTTTTAGGGTTTTAGGGTTTTAGGGTTTAGGGTTTTAGGGTTTCAGGGTTTTAGGGTTTTAGGATTTTAGGGTTTTAGGGTTTTAGGGTTTCAGGGTTTTAGGGTTTTAGGATTTTAGGGTTTTAGGGTTTTAGGGTTTCAGGGTTTTAGGGTTTCAGGGTTTTAGGGTTTTAGGGTTTTAGGGTTTTAGGGTTTTAGGGTTTTAGGGTTTTAGGGTTTTAGGGTTTCAGGGTTTCAGGATTTTAGGGTTTTAGGGTTTTAGGGTTTCAGGATTTAGGGTTTTAGGGTTTTAGGGTTTCAGGATTTTAGGGTTTTAGGGTTTTAGGGTTTCAGGGTTTTCGGGTTTTAGGGTTTCAGGGTTTCAGGGTTTTAGGGTTTTAGGGTTTTAGGGTTTTTGGGGTTTTAGGGTTTTAGGGTTCAGGGTGTCGATGTGAGGTTTCGGGCTACCGAATTTAGGCTTCCGTGTGGGCTTAGGGCTGTTTTTTGTTTTGTTGGAAAAGCCAAAAACCCTAAACCCTAAACTCTTAAGGCCAGGGTTTAGGGTTTAGGGTTTAGGGTTCCTTAATTTGGTCCCTTACCTCCTTCAGAAAGGTTCTGAAGTGTTGGCCTAGGGTTCCCTTGTAAGCAGAGAAGGCCCTTATTTCCCTTGAAGGGGTTTAGGGTTCTCTTCTCAGCTGCTTGTAATTAAAAAAAGGAGACCTGACCAAATAGGGATGCCCTATTTTTATTCCCAGGAGCTGGCCAACCTGAAGCTGCTCTTTGATGAGGCCCTTGGGGTATTCTCTTCTGGGCATAGCGTTGGGGTTCAGGTTTAGGGTTTAGGGTTTTGGGGTTTGGGGGTTTTGGGGTTTGGGGTTTCAGGTGGCCCTAAAATTTTTCCGCACTGGAAGACGTGGTTGCGGGTTTCACCGTAAGGTTCAGGCTCAGGGTTTGTTGTTTGGAGTTGGGTGGGTTGTGGATGAAGTTGCCGGCTTCCTCTGCCGAAGACTACTCTTTGCTTAAGAATCCTAAAAAGAAAAAACAATGCTAATCCCCTATATTGCCCTTATAGGGAAGAATATGTTTTTTGTTTTTTTGGGTTCTTAAGCAATCAGTAGAAGATCGGCTAATATGAAAGGCTCAGGGGCTGAAGGGTTCAAATGGTCCAGGAGAAACACTAGCCTTCAAGCCTACAACCCTAGACCCTAAACCCCAAACCCTAAACCCTAAACCCTAAACCCCAAACCCTAAACCCTAAACCCTAAACCCTAACCCCCTAAACCCTAAACCCTAAAGCCCTAAACCCGAAATTATAAACCCTAAGCCCTGAGCTACCGCTAAGGGAATCCACCTGGGTGGGAGTCCCGAGGTTCCCCAGGATACCCAAAGCACTCAGCCCTATCCACCCCATGAGTCCCACAAACCTTCCCTAAGCCCTATGGGGTTTAGGGTTTAGGGTTTCGGGTTTAGGGTATGGGGTTCAGAGTTTAGGATTTAGGGTTTAGGGTTTAGGGTTTAGGGTTTGGGGGCTAGAAGCCCAGAACTCTAAAGAAGCGCTGTAAGCCCATGCCCGAAGACCCCGAGAGCCCCGCCGCAGGTCAAGAAAGGCGGCAAGAAAGGCAAAGGGAAGAAGGGAGCTAAGGCAAAGAAGCCGAAGAAGCTTCTTGGCTGCTTAGAACTCTGTACCCTAACCCTAAACCCTAAACCCTAAACCCTAAACCCTAAACCCTAAACCCTAAACCCTAAACCCTAAACCCTAAACCCTAAACCCTAAACCCTAACCTAAACCCTAAACCCTAAACCCTAAACCCTAAACCCTAAACCCTAAACCCTAAACCCTAAACCCTAAACCCTAAACCCTAAACCCTAAACCCTAAACCCTAAGCAAGCCCTCCACCCTAGAACCTTAAGCTTAGAACCCACAACCCTAAACCCCAAACCCCTAAAACTTTTTTGCTGCACCCGTGCTTTTTGAAGCTGCTTTTTGGGTCCAGGGTGAGATTCCAATCCTAAGGGTGGTTTCATGGGCCCTTAATATGTTCCCTTACCTTTTCTTAAAGGGGTCTGAAGTATGGGCCCTTGGCTTTTTACAGGGTATGTAAGGGGGAAACAAGGGGTCCCCATATAAGGGCCCATATTAGGGGACCATATGGTGATTTCTCTGAAATATGGTCCCTATTGAGGTCCTTGTTATAAGGTGGCCCTCTTATTTAGTGTACCCCTAAAAGGGACTATATAATTTAGAGAACTCAGCATCTAGCTACCCTAAGATTCCCAGGAATGTGCAGGCAGGTTCTTCCCCTCATGGGAGTGATATCCAGGCCATGCTTGTGTAGCTTCGAGGCTCCTCACAGCAACCAGGAACCCAGAGTAGGCCCTGTAGTTCCCTTTTTTGGGGGTTCGATTTCCCGTATTTTGGTTTTTGTGGCCAATTCTTATTCCTCGGGTACTGGCTTTTGGCAAGTTGGTCGGGTTTAGGGTTTAGGGTTTAGGGTTTAGGGTTTAGGGTTTAGGGTTTAGGGTTTAGGGTTTAGGGTTTAGGGTTTAGGGTTTAGGGTTTAGGGTTTAGGGTTTAGGGTTTAGGGTTTAGGGTTTAGGGTTTAGGGTTTAAAGGCAGAGTGGCTCAAACAAGGTGCCAAGCACGCTGTGGATCATGGTCTGGGTGGGTTATCCAGGGTGCAACTTGTCTTGCAGCCTGAACGCTCAACTCCAAAACTCTTGAAAGCCTGAACCCCGTAACCTCCAGGCAATCCGTGCCATCTTTCTGGCTGGACCCTAAACCCTAAACCCTAAACCCTAAACCCTAAACCCTAAACCCTAGTTAATAATTAGCCCTAAACCCTAAACCCTCTAATCCCCAAGCCACGCCCTCAAAGCGCACCGACAAGGCCGAAGCCTCCAAAAAAGTGGTGCGCAGCTGCTTCACGCCCAGAGCGCGTGCTGGGGTTCGGGGTTTCGGGTTTAGGGCTTAGGGTTTAGGATTTAGGGTTCAGGGGGTGTGTTCTGGGGTTCAGAACTTGTGGCTTTCTTCCCCTAAACCCAACGCCCTTGTAACCCTACACCCCCCAGTCCCTAAATACTAAATTCCTAATTCCCGAGCGGGTCCATATCCCCCATATATATTGAGGGTGCAGTGCCCCTGTCTTGTCAAGTTTAACGGGAATTCTCATGTAGGGGACCCTAGAACAGACCCCGAATAGTAGGACTTTTAAAAATAAGGACCCCAAAAAGGTACCCGTATCGTCTTCGGCATGCCAGGCATCAGCTCTGTCGGTGTAGGGGTTTCAGAGCGTAGGGTTTAGCTAGCAGGGGTCCATTTGCCTGGTATTGGGGGGGAACCGGGACCCCAAACCGCAAAAAAACCCTAAGCTCTAAGCCCTTCGCCCTAAGCCCAAGCCCGAGCCCTACGGCCTAAGCCCTAAGCCCTAAACCCTAAACCCTAAACCCTAGCCCTAAACCCTAAACCCCAAACCCCAAAAGTTCCGACGGCTTTAGGGTCCTAAGCTTGGCTTTTCAATCTCAGGTCGGCATGATCACCAACCGAGAAGACTGCGTGCATGGGGGCTCAGCAAGGGTCCGTTGGACCTGGATTTAGGGTTCAGGGTTTAGGGTTTGGGGTTTAGGGTTTAGGGTTTAGGGTTTAGGGTTTAGGGTTAGGCAATTTGGGTATACGGTTTAGGGTTTAGGGGCAGCGGGTAGGATAACCAATGTTAGGGCTTGGGGATTGTAAGTTCTAGGGTCCCTTTTTTTGGGCACACTAGCTAAAGCGGGCCCGTGGTTTTTTTTTGCTAACGTTGGCCCTGGCTTGGTGTCCTTTTGGTGACGTTGGCCCCAGGCTCCTGGCCCTCTGGTCGCTTGGTCCTCTGACCCTCTGGTCGCGTCCTCCGGCCTTCTGGTCCCTTGGTACCCTGGCCTGCCGCCCTCCTGGCCCGCTGGCCCTCCTGGCTTCCCTGGCCTGCCTGAAGATTTGTGGCTGGCCCCCCCCCAAGGCCGATTGCTCAAAAACGCGCTACCAACCCCAACCAACCGTTCAAAGGACGGGGGTGGGAAGTGGGAAGTTAGGGCGTTAGCCCGAAACCCTAAAAGGGGAAAAGTTGGGTGGATGCCTGCGTAAGCAAGGCGTGGGAAAAATTGAACAACCCAACCTTTCTGGTTGTGGTGGCTCCAAACTTCAATATACGCCGCCACGACATATGCCGCCCCCCTCACACCCCCTTGTTGGTGTGTTGGGGCGCCATCTCCGCATGAAATCTACTGCCGGGGCGCGGCGAGAAACCCTAAACCCTAAACCCTAGACCCTAAACCCTAAACCCTGAACCCTGAACCCTGAACCCTAAACCCTAAAACCTAAACCCTAAACCCCAAACCTTAAACCCTAAACCTAAACCCTAGCCATAAAGGGGCTTCAGTCAGACTTTTGGAATCGCCTCCCAAGGCCCGATCTGGTGGAGCAAGGCATCCTCAAGAAAGTGGCGCCCTGCAAGCTGGAGGCAGCGTTTTGTGGGTTTAGGGTTTATGGCTTTAGGGTTTAGGGTTTGAGGGCTTAGGGTTTAGGGGTTTGAGGGTTTTAGGGTTTGAGGGTTTAGGGTCTAGGTGGGCTAGGGGACTCTGCAAGCCCTAAACCCGACAAACCCTGCAAACTCAATAAACCCAATAAGCCCTATCGACTGACCTTCGCGGGCTTTCGCGCGCGTCTCCGCTTCATAAGACTGATGGTGCATTCTGCAGGTTGCCGAAAATAGAGGTACGTACCCCCCAAAGGGAGGTGCTGTCATCATGACAAGAGTATTCTGAGGTCCCGAAACCCTAAACCCTAAACCCTAAACTTTCAACCCTAAACCCTAAACCCTCTTTTGGGGAGATGGCGAAACCCTGAAGGCCTCAAACCCCCGACCAGTAGCTCGACGGCCCTGAGCCTCTTTAGCAGCTGAGATAGTACACTTTACACTTTTTGGGATACTACATAATCCCCTACAGAACTGAAAGTGTGCACTCTTTGGGGGGCTTATGAGCTCAGCAACTAAGGGGGTAGTTCTACGGCCCCATAATGTGGTCCCCTACCTTCTTTAAAGGCTTCTTAAGTGATTTTTGCGCCCTTGGGTTATATTGGGTATGTAACGGGTGCATAAGGGGTCCCGTGATAGGGGCCCATATGAAGGGACCATGCAACTACCTAAACCCTAAAACCTAAACCCTAAACCCTAAACCCTAAACCCTAAAGAGCCCTAAATCCCCGTGGAGGAGGGGGGCCTCTAAACAAACCAGTCCATGTCTGGCTCAAGGACTTCCTCGGGGAGTACCACTTTCTGGGAGACGGGCCCTCAAGAGAGCCAGCGCCTACTGCACCACCCTAAGGGTCCATGTACCTATTTATTATATACTTGGGCCCCAAATGCCCTGTATAGCAAG